GGGGGGGGGGCTTTGAAAAAAAAGCACACAAAGGAGGGAGGATTTAATAGTATTTGCTGACTTAAAGGGGGGGTTGAAACAAATGATTAAGGTATTTCTAAAAGATAACAAGGAGGGGGGATCAAAAAGAAATTGTTTAATAGATTTGGGGGGGAGGGGGGGTTGTGAATTTTGTGATACATGGGAACCTTATTTGATTGGTTGAAATATGGCACTCTGATTGGATTACGAAATTTCGGTATTTTGAATTCTCTGGTTCCTTTATTATGTTTGTTTTTTGTTTTTGCTTTCTTATGTTTTTGACAGGGTAAGAGGGAAGTTCGTCAACTGATTTTAAACCATTACTAAATACCCTTTTATGTTTTTTTCGAACTGCAACAAAGCTGGGAACCTTTTGTAAACGGTTTTTGGTTCACTTTTTTATGCCACGAATTGACGTCGAAGGAAAGGAAAGAGGAAATAGATAGGGTATTTCAAAAAAACTTAAATCTTATATACCCTGCAATAACCTCAGAGCTGATCAAAGTCAGGACACGGCTAACTCACATATCGAACCCTGAAAATAACCTCTTTGCTGATAATAGTCAGGGCACGGATAACTCGCATTTCGAACCCTTAAACAACCTCTGAGCTGATCAAAGTCAGGGCATGGCTAACTCACATATCGAACCCTGAAAATAACCTCTTTACTGATAACAGTCAGGGCACGGATAACTCGTATATCGAACCCTGAAACATTCACCGGAGAAAGACCCTCCGTACAAGTTATCTAGTTACAGTTAGGGGAAAAACGAACGAACAAGCAAGGAATGCAAAAACGAAACAAAATTGCGAGATTTTAGAGCTGCGTCGTGTTGTTGTAAAATTGCTGTTTTGTTAATGTTTGGGAAACCGGAAACGACCCTCATTGAATACACTCGAAAGATAACAAGGTTATCAGTCTACTAGTACTATATGTACCGGTAAGCGCACCTATTTATAAACAGCCTGTTCATTTGCGCGCATTTATTTTTAACAACTGTGCTTGCTGTCTAGCAAATTAGTTACGATCTTTGTACGCGTTATTCGTACATGAATTATTACAGTGTGACTACACCAACCAAAGCCATCCAGACAAACTTTCATACAAATTAG